TTAAGAGCATGAAACTAAATACATGTCTTAAAGGTCACCTATCATGCTATCTTTAGGCAACAGCATAGGTCTCAGATATATACAAATATATAAAAAACATGTTTATGAAGTGTTTTGCTCAAAATACCAAACAGACCACCCATTCTAGCCATGCCTCATATCCCTCTATTTCACTTCCTGTTTCTAAAGTGCTGATTTGGGTATAAAGCTTTAAAAAAAAAAAAAAAATTGATACAAAAAATAAAAGGAGGGGTCTGAGCTCATGTGGGACCCAGCAGCTACTGTCTAAACTAAATACTGCCGTGATGAAACGCCATATCATGGATTATCAAGGATTATCTCTGAAACAGTATGGAGCTCAAAGGCTTTCTCTCTTGCCGGTTATACCACAAGGTGAGTTCCTTTTTACTTCCTGCTTCTTCACACACATGCTCTCCAGTACAGGTTAGCTCTGAGTGTTAGCGATGCTAATGTAAACACCGACCATATTACGTCCAAAACAGTCGGGCATTGTTTCTGATAGCAACGTTTCTGATTGGGCCGTTGGTCCACATTTCAGATATTACGTCATATCGGACGCAAATCTGGATCAGCTCCGTTGTGGCCCCGTTTTTAGAGATTTGGGTACGGAGGAAAAGAGACAGGGTTTTATTTTCTGACGCTGCGTGAGTTCCCTGACACACCGGGGACACATATTTATGTATAACAGACATCAAAAAGTGCATTTTGCATGATAGGTCCCCTTTAATATGTAGTCACATGGTTTATCCCAGTTCAAATCTACTTATTCTTTATTTCCTATGTCCAAATTGAAGGTGTACATCTTTTCTACCCTGCTTAAGGTACATGGAGGAAGTTATAGAGAGCACTTTCTCTCTGCTGTCTTTACATCATGAACATGGCTCAGGTTCAACTGGGACAGAGAACGTCCTGGAACCCATTCACCTGCTGGCCTTACTGGACGTTAAAGCTACCTGGTTTAAAAAGTGGATGGTATGTGTTAGAAATTAACAGTTTTGATTGATTTAGGCAGAGTGCATTTTGTATATGAACATGGTTCCTACAGATCCATAATACTGAGACACAGGGAGTAGGATTAGGATGTTTCCTGATTGGTTACATGTATTTCTTTTAAATAATTCCTTAAATAACAATTGCATGGAAAGTTGGTCATGCATTTAAATTGCAAATGGCCATAAAAAGTTATTTAATGTTGCCTTAAGCTGCAGGAACCATGATGCACTACTGTGTTATTTTGTAACTCAGTAGTGTCTGTATCCCTTATTATCTTGTACATGCCCTTTCTTTTATCCTGATGTGCTTCCCTCACCCTCTCTCAGCATGGATACTACAGCAGGACTGTAGTTCTCCGACTCCTGGAGAGAAAATACAAGTCTCTGGTGAGTGATCCACTCCGAAATCAATATCTCTCACTGACTCCTTTGTACTTTTCAAACGTCTAACACGGTAAAGAAACACCAATGAAACAAGCATGAGAAGTGTTTTCAGAGAGCTCCAAACCCACAGCCAAACACCAAATCAGGAGTTGGGCCAAAAAATGCAGTATTTACATTAATACAAAAATGGGCAGTGTGGGCAGTGTGTTTATGTTGCAGTGGTAGGTAGTGCAGGAACAACTAAATAAAACATAGTTGTCTCATGGACATTTTTTTTACAAATTGAAACTCAAAGATTTCTCCCAAAGTTGAGTATCTACTTTGGTAGGAATCGGTCGATTTGAGTAAATTAGGCTTTCATTAAGCTGCTTCACATCACCACACAAACTCAATCACACAGCCTGATCTGGTGTGAATGCACGCTTAGGCACCAGGAAGAGCATCCAAAACAGAAAACACTGTGCATGAGCTATAGGAAAAGGTATGGAAAATAACACGACAAAGTTCAAATTCAGACTTCTTTGATTTTCATCTTTAGACCCCAGAAAAGATGCCACATTTCAGTTTTAGTTCCTACCTTTACTGTAACCAAGATACTGTATGTATTCAGAATAACACAGATGGTGGATTCTTCAAAAGACTGGCTGCATTTCACTGAAACCATACAATAACATTCCTATTCATGCCTGTGTGTGTGTGTGTGTGTGTGTGTGTGTGTGTGTGTGTGTGTGTGTGTGTGTGTGTGTGTGTGTGTGTGTGTGTGTGTGTGTGTGTGTGTGTGTGTGTGTGTGTGTGTGTGTGTGTGTGTGTGTGTGTGTGTGTGTGTGTGGGGGGGATCAATATCAAGGGGCACAAAAGATTTTAGAGTCACTTTGACATTTACAGATTGATTGTTTAATCCTAAACCTCCCTCTGTGCTCTCTCTCTGACTCTAGAGAGGGTTACTGATGAATCACCCCTGAAACCTTCTCTAAAGTAAATGTCAATAACTCTTCCAAGCACTCTGAGCCTAAACCACTCTTGCATTGCAGTGCATTCAAATCCCCTCCAGTGCTTCAGGATTAAGATTCAAATGAACTTTGATTAAAGGGTTCGATAAGAGTCGAAGGAGTTTAGCAGTTGTCATGGTGTTTACAGCAACCACATTGCATTCAAATCATTTTCTTCTTCAGATTGTAGCAGCCCTTCAGCAGTGTATCCATTACACTGAATCCTGTGAACGTGTAACAAATGAAACTGATCCCCAGTCAGCGGAGCGGCAGGAACCCGGTGAGTTAAACAGACCATAAACTCATCATTTCCTCAACAGGTTTATGTACTTTCTCATATCTGGATAACAGTTTCCACTCTCACTCTGTGTGGTTAACATCAACACATTTGCAGTAATGCTGATTTAATGTGTGCTGTGAAACAAACCAAAATATAATACACTCAGGCTGAGCTACTGAGAGCGCCTAATGAGAAAGTAATGCTTCATTTGAAGCCTGTGGGTGTTAATTGTATTTTTACCTACCTAGTCTTCGCTGTCATCATTTATTTATTCTCTTTTGTTAACACATGCTGTTCCTGCTGTTGTAGAAACAGAGGAAAGCAGAGAGGAGCATTAAACAGAAAGAAATGAAAACAAAAAAGGGATACAAAAGATAAAGCCAAGGGAATAATGGGAGGTTGATGACAGCTCTATTGTGATTGGTCGACTGCTTAGAGATGTCCCGCCCCTTAGCGTATCACGTGCAATGTGTTGGAGCGCTAGCCAATGAAAGTGCAAGTGTTACGTAGTGATGTCACTGGAGTCGTTTCAGGCAGGTGGGGGGAGTGTGTGTGTGAGAGAAACTCTGGGAATTAAGCCTCTGCAGACCATTGACATGCACAAAAAGCATTTGTATAGTAGGTTTTTTTTAACACTAAGTAACTCAAGTTCTGGATGAGGGTAATACAAATGTCTTGTAACAAATATTACAAGAGATAGTTTTTTGTTTACATGATCATTTGCAATATTAACATTTAGAGTAATATAGATTGATGGTAAAATGCTTAAAAAGAGTGAGTGTAGCTGGAGATGGGCTAAGGGAAAGTGTGTGTCAGTGAGTTATCTCCTGGAGCAGCTGCTTCCTTGAGAGCGAACACTTTGACCTTGTCTTTGTTGACTGGAGGTAAGCTGCCTCCCGCCACTGATACACTCCGCATAAAATAATAAGCTGAGCTTGCTTTAGATGTTCTGCACCTCGGAGGCCCTGAGGGTGTTTTTCATTCGTCAATCTCCTTCGATTACAGCCGCTGTATGAAATGTCTTTACACTTTCTGTCCACCACAGCAGGGGCATTCATCTTGGGCCAATGAAAAGTAGTTTAAATATTACAATAGAATAACTTTTTATTTTGTATGAATATTTTCATTTGTAACTGAAATAAGATCAACACAAACAACATCTTTGCTTATCAGAATTTGACCCTTTCTCTTGTGGATGCACCTTTTGGTCGTGCAAGACTATTACCCTTTTTATTTGAAATATGTCTTTTGCAACACCTAACAAAGTTGTAAACAAGAATTAGCCATGTGACGGAAAAGGTGTTAGCTTTGCTCTTTCCATCATCTTTAATACTATCAACACTATCTGGGCCCTTGTCTCTGTCATGTGTCAGGCTCAGTCCAGAGGAGTGTTTACACGGGAAAAGAGATTGAGTATGCTTTCTTCGTCCACTCGCTGTGTGTCCTGGGGAAACTGCTCATCTACACCAACGGCAGGAAGCTCTTTCCCATCACAGTGAAGAAGCGCAAAGGTACACAACTACACTGTTCTGTAAGCTGTTTTAGATCAATCAAAAGCATGTGGGTTTTAATGTTTACATTCTTGCTTGACATCTTCACTAAAGGCAGTATAATTAAGCAATAGCTCACGACAGGCCGCTTCGCGTCGGGCCGAACCACGCCCTTTAGCTGTGATATAATGAAGTGAGCTATTGCTTTTATAAAACGGTTACAAAGTGTGGCAATATGAAAGAAAAATACACACTCTAATTTAAATAGTTTTTATTAGTAAATAAGGATGTTCAAAATAAAATAGTCCCTCCGTTGCCTTCTGCATAAAACATAGTGCGAGGTGGTTGCTATGTAACAACACTAACAGCTAGCGAACATATTAGACAGAGAGCATTGATCGATTATTTGGCTATATATTTACATTCATTTGTATGTTGCCGTTTATTGTGCAGCCACTGAAAAACTGTCCAGCATCAGTAGCATGGCTTACGTGGTTACTTGTATATGTTGAGGTTGTTCTAGGCTGTTGTTTGGCGTAGCGAGAATATTGCTCCACTTTCTCCGGTCCCAGTAGCTCTGGAGAGAGCTTTCGCACTTCTGGCCACTAACGTCATAATTTCTCAGCTTTGTTTCAAGACCTGCATCAGAAAGCTTTTGAATGGTGGTACTTTTCCAGTTTGTCTACCTGCTCTTCACGTAGCTGTGCATGTCGTCGTTTAGGTGCTTTTTTTGGAGATAGGCACTGCTCAATCCACTCCTCCATAGTAAGACCCCCCCGCAGGTCGAAGTTAACCTTAAATGTTTCCATCTTAAGCTTTGTTACATTACATTACATGTTACTTGTTAGACGCTTTTATCCAAAGTGACTTACATACTCAATACTGTGGAAAATCCCCACAGGAGCAATTTGGGGTGAAGTGTCTCAGGGACACAACGACATGCTGACTGCAGTGGGGTTTGAACCTGTGCCCCCTTGATCCAAACACCAACGCACAACCCACTGCGCCACACAACGATTGTTAGTTAGTTAGTTTCGTAACGGACGTAATGTAACAGTTGTAACAGTTGTAGCTTTTCTCAGAGGCGGAGGGATACATGACTTGTGAAAAGTAACTACAATTCTGATATACGCTCATTATATCACGTCTAAGAACCAATCAGATTGCTTGATTTGACTTTTCCGTTTTATAAGGTACAATATTGTACGGTAGTTAAAGGAAAAGTTTGTTGTGGGTTAGACGATAAGACCTTTAAAAACCTCTTATATCCGTCCTGTAACATGCAAGTTACAACATTATATTTTATTGCGTAATCTGTTTAAGAAAAAATACAACAAATAATGTGTTATAAAAACGTTTTTTTTTTTTACATTTGTTTTTTTTGTACAGATTAAATACATTTAATCTAACACTTTGAATGTGAGGAATGTGCACCTTATTTCCCCTTGTTTTTAGTCTTTGTGCTAAGCTAACCATTATTAACCATAGAAATACTAACGTGAGGTCCATCCCCTTATCTAACTCTATTCTTTTAATGTCTAATCAACTGTGTATGGTCCATTGTTGGCAACTGCAGAATCTACACATGGTTCAAATGACTGACGCAGAGTTAAATAGAAAAACATCTGTTTTTATAGTTTATTGCCCCCAACAAAACTGCCCCTTTTTAATCTTTACAGCAGATAATCTCATGTTGCAATGCGTCTGATCATTTTACTCTTGGTGCCACTCCCTCCTCTTTCCCGTCTGACCCCATCATCGATCCCTCCACCCGTCTTAATCACCAAAAACGTTATGTAACGCCGTGAATGATACATAGGTGAACCATTAAAACAGGCTCATGGTCTTCGTCAATTATTTAGCAATACATGACTCTTGTTCCATGGCATTCTGTAGGCAATTAACTCTGACGTTAGAGTAGCTCATATTGAAATGTGACACATTCCTCGGGTGGAGGCCTATTACCTCCAAACCTTGTTTTAAGTGGGCCCCTGGATCAGGTCGGCACGCTTATGTGTCATGGAGGAGGCTGTGGCTCAGTGGATAGTGTGATGGACTTCGAATCAGGGGATAGCAAGTTTGAGTCCCACTGCAGTCAGCATGTCGTTGTGTCCCTGAGACACTTCACCCCAAATTGCTCCTGTGGGGATTGTCCACAGTACTGAATGTATGTAAGTCGCTTTGGATAAAAGTGTCTAACAAGTAACATGTAATGGGATTATCATTGACATGATTTCCCACGAGACTTTTATATCTTTTGTACTAATTTGTTTTAGTGTAAATTTACGTAAATTCGACGGAGTGACATAGAGATACTCTCTCGGTTTCTGGACAAATGACTGCTCAATAGCATTATGTCAAAGTTTAGTTTTTTTAGTTAACCGTTTTAAACCTTTTATTCCTAAATGGTATCTTTATCTCTTTTATCAGGATTTTTGTCAGTACCTGGGTAAAGTAACTTTTTTTAGATTTGAACGGTTAATTTTGGATCAAATCCTTTGCA